GAAGTATGAAAGTTATATCGAATTACAATAATATCATCGACCACCTTGCCAACCTTCCGAAAAGTGTCGTTCGGGTCATTAACTATTGCAATGAATTAAACTTCGAGTTAAGTTTGACCTTATGAACATAAAGTGTTTATGTTTTTAGCAGCGAAAATCAAAACTAGACAATGTTTCTCAATAAGAGGATACTTTCCTCCGCCGACATTAGACGACCACTTAAATAATAAAGAGCATTTTCTTTGCCCTAATCATTGACCTGAGCTACAAGGCTTCGAGGGAATCATCTAAAGTCACGGTATAAAGTATCAATAGTCTACTCGATATTAGGGCTACTAGTACAAGAGGTATCATTAAGTATTGTTTAATGTTTTTGAAAGTGAGTTGAGAGTTATCTTCCCAATTAAACTTGGCATCTTTATTGGTCAACACAGAAAAAAGATTGACACCTACCTGACAGGTTAAAAATAAAGCGTCAACGACCCTTGAAAATATCGCAGTTGCTTTAAATTTTTAGGTGGTGGCATTTCTAAGATAGTTTTAACTTTCCGAGGATCAATTTCAATTCCGCAGTGACGGATAACAAACCCTAAAAATTTCTCAAAGGTGACACCGAATGCACTTTAAGGAATTCATTTTAAGATTGAATTGCCGTAACCGTTGAAAGACAATTCTCAAATCATAAAAATGGTCATTCTTCTGTTTGCTTTTAATGACCAAATCATCCACATAGCATTCATTATGATTGTGAATGAGTTTGTCAAAAATTCTTGTCATTACCCGCTGATAATTTGCACCAACTTTCTTTAATCCAAATGACAATACTGTGTAGCAATATATCCCAATCGGTGTTAGGAAAGCCATAAAATTTTCATCTTTTGGTGCGATTTTATTTTGATTATATTCAGACAATCCATCCATAAATGAGAAAATTGCATGAGATGATGTAATATCAACCATTAACTCTTGAATCACTAGAAAAAATTCATCATTTGGGCATGTTCTATTCAAAATTTTAGGATGAAAAAATTCAGGACTATTCAAAACCTGTCTTTACTTTATGCAAGACCTTTGAGCCAGATTTTAAATGGGTTGCATGCATGGTTATTACTCGATCATGTTTAATAGGGACTCCACACTTAGGATTGTGGTAGATAATTACATCATATTTGCATGTCCCAAGAAGAAACCCCCATGCTTCTCCAATTTAACTGGCCCAACAAAGATTTTTATTTAGGTTGTTGTTTAACGCGCTTAGGGTGTTAGAAGTCTCCCTGATCCATACTGGGTGTAAGTCCTGTTTTTTAGAGCTTTTCCAGCTTTGTAGCTAGACCTCCCTTTTTCTTTCTTTCCTGCTGCATCCTCGCCACTTGAGCTGGTATAAGTCCCAGCTCTCTGAGCTCCAGTCGATAATCATAAGATAGAGTTTCGTTCCTTTGACCTTAGAGCTACCAAGATCTTCTATGAATGATGTAATTCATGGATTGCTGACTAGAGATCTTAGGACTTGTTGGGTCAACTACCTTCAAGACAGGGCAGACTTAGGGTCCTAGTGGCTTGGGATGATGGGTCCATGGTACCCTACCTAGCCACCTCTACCTCTGAGGACTACTCCTCCCTTCCTTTGACTACCCCGTTGAGCCCTATATGCTCCTTTGACTTCGTTGATATCGCTTTGATGACCCAATGTCGTTAAGCTGCTGCCCGTTTGGGATACGACGATTTATCATCTACCCTTATGACCCGAATGTGCTTTGACATATCAGGATACCCCTATCGAGGTAATTTTGGTTATTTCGTAGGTTCCATATGCCGAGGAACTGCTATCCATCGGGACGTGAGAGATTCACTCTCTGCCAGTTGGTTTAGCTGAGCTTTGAATTATCAAGACTTTCCCATACGAAATAACCTACCTTTGATAACCTATGCTCCAGGTTCATGATAGCAAAAGCAAAACCCCTTATATCGAGAGTATTCCTGAGTATCATCAGGATGTAACTAACCAGTAGGGATACATTTTTCTGGAAGACTCTTGACCCCAGAATAAAAATGTCTTTTTTTTTTTGTCTAGTTACGGGTGGCATATGTAGGGATTCTCTTCGTGGATGTCGTGTTTCAAGGTATTCTGATTCGATCTTGTTTGGACGTATACTCTCAACCCATCACTCGAGAATTATACATATAAAACCCTTTGTCTCTTTTCTTTTTAATTGTTTGTCTATTTATTGTCGTATGTCATTTTGCTATTTGATTCCTCACCTCTTCAAATCATTTAAAATGATTCGGGAGGAAGACTTATTCGAATAGAGGAATTATACGATGATATATAAATATACAAGTTGGTAACTCCGAGATGCTAAAAAGAACAAAAAAAAAAAGGATTCTTATTAGCTTATATCTAGGTCATAAGAAGAGTTGTAAATAATCTTAGAGTTAAGCGGGTCTTAACTAGGCACCATTTTCTAGGACTCTTTGGATTCCCTTATTTATGTTGTAATCCCCCAATGACAATAGGTCTATTCCACTAAGTTATCATGTGCTAAACTACTTGTTCCACTAGGCAGCGATTAGAAGTACTAGATCACAAGTATTTTTAACATCCTTATTGGTAAGATCAAGAGTAAACTATATGCCAAACATTAACACAATAACATGAATGAATCACAGAGCAAAGAAAGTTCACGAGAAAAAGCAATAAGAACACCACTTGAAACATCAAAACCTTACATCACAGAAGTATGAAAGAGAATTAGCCACTTTTCATGAGACTGAAAGTTAAGGAATATTTTATTTCAATCATGAAAGAGAAACAAGTGCAGGAAAGGAGAAAACTTACGACCGTCGTCATTATCCCTTCGTAATACAACTAATCCTCTCTGCACAATGAAGATCACTCCACATTTTTTCTCTCCCACACAAATACTCACAAAGCTCAAAGAAAAGACATAATGTAGAAGCTCTCTCCCACAAAGAGAAGGAAGAAAAATCCTAAGAATAATGGTGAAGACACTTCTCTTCCTCTTGGCTGCATCTCCAAGTCTCTGAATCTTCTAGGTCATGCCCTAGCCTTCTTTTTTAAAGCCCCATCCATATTAAGCACGAGATTTCTTGCCAACTTGATAAGGGCGTAGCGACGACGTGGCCAATGCCTGCATTCGATGTAACCATGGTGAAGCCTGCACAACAACACCGAATATTGTCGTAGCTATGCTTGCCTTCCAGAAGGGGTGTTGTAATTACACCTCATTTGGGTGTGGTTACGCGAGTCAGTTCCATTGACTTCATCATTTTATTGCTCTATAATGTGCGGTTGACCAATGTAACCTTTTAAACACCAAAAAGAACCTTTCATAAGCGTAAAACCATGATGAATGGGGAAGAAATGTAGAATTTAATGTAGGAAAAATACTTAATTTTGCCTCTTGTCAGCATCACAGGAGCTCTTCTCTCTATAAAGATTAGCTCTTCAGTGGCGATACTTTGGAAATCAACAGAAGACTCGAACGCAAAAGAAATCATTTATGCACCTTCAAGATCTTCTTTGACATAAACCACCAGAGATATCTTTCAATATGCTACTTCGACAGCTGAAGCTTGCCGAGAGAGGCAAACTGGGCATAACAGTCTAGACCAACGCAGAACGAAAACCGATATGTGAAGAGCTATGTCGGCCAAGGAATTCCCGACCAGCAACAAAAAATAAAAAAAAAATTTGTAATAAGCAATATAATTCAGTATAATCTAAGCGAAAATAACTACACTGTGGTTGAAGATGACCAGTACCTCCCAACATAGAGGAAGCCTTAAGTCGAAGTAGAATTGATCCCTATAAAGGATAAGGTCAGAGCCATACAAAGTGATCGCTCGGTCATTCTCACTGACAACCCGAAGCTTGATGGGGGGATTGTAGACGCAATCAACCTGTAACGGATCCAACTCCCATTGATTCATCATTGATCGGTCGGCTGTGATGATTGAACTGAAGGCTTTTAAAGTATATTTTTGATCCATCAAAATAGATCACACAGAACAAAAGCTGAGGGAGCGAGGAGAAGCAATGAACAAAAATAATAAAAGCATGACGTCAATCCAGCCTCTCATCCTTATATATGAGGAAATGGAAGAAACATAACTATCACAAGGGAGTAAAAACAAAATCTTACAATAATGCAAAAGTGTGCTGATAGAATAATTAAATCATCACATGAATCAACAAGAAAGAAATAATTTTTTTACGAAAAAAAACATTATAAATAATGCTCGAAAACTAATTTGAGAAGAAATACTTTACAAGGGGATTGTCTGCAACCTTTTATAGCAAACTTTCGGATGAATAAACTGACTCGAGGGAAGATCTTGACCCTCTGTATCTCCAATCATACTGGTTATTTAGAAGCTCCCTCATTTATCATAAAGAGCCGATAGCTAGATTAACTCAGCGTACTGAGCCGGTCATGTCGTCTCGAATTCAATTGAGCTCAACCAAGCAGCCACGCCGATTAAACCCAACTGATCGAATCATCCATGCCGACCATAAGCGAATCAAGCTTTGTCAAACGAGCAAGAGAGTATTCGAGCAATAGAATCATACCCGTAATATACCTAAAAAATATTGTACAACCCTCATCAAAGTAGAGACGAAAACTTAAGTCACCATATTGTACACGCTCATCATATAAATAAGATCATTTTATATATAAGAAAGGACAAAAATACCCGATTTTATAAAAAACGTCAGGAAATATTAACATGAATGATATAATTTATTGTACTTTATTATTCTCTCTCTCTCTCAACAGTTATACTGAATTTTTTTTATTCTGAAATTTTTTTCACCAAATAAACCCTTTGAATGGAAGTGCTATATTTGTAATATATATGTAATTACAAAAGAATTGTGTGCTGGGTATGTAAATTTCGCATTTATTTATCATTCATAATTCAGTTTGTTCTCCTTCTTCTATTTCTCACGTGTTATATGTATATTCAAACCAGCCCACCACTGTTCCAATCGGTTGTCCCTACACTGTCGCAATGGACATCATCATCTCAATCTTCACCTACGGAGCTCTATTCCTCTTCCTCCTCCAACTAACCAAACACTTCCTGATCTCCAGCAAAGGCAGCAGAACAAGGAATCTCCCACCAAGCCCGCCTTCACTTCCCATCATCGGCCATCTACACCATCTAAAGAAGCCTCTACATCAATACTTGGCCCGACTTTCCGCCCAACACGGCCCGATCCTCCTCCTCCGCTTCGGCGTCCGCCCTGTTCTCGTTGTCTCCTCCGCCGCCCTCGCCGAAGAGTGCCTCACCACCAACGACATCGCCTTCGCTAATCGCCCTATGCTTCCCTCCTTCAAGCTCAGCACCTACAACTACACCAACATCGCGACGTCCAACTATGGACCCGGATGGCGTGAGATGCGCCGCATCGCTACGATCGAGGCACTCTCGGGCCACCGCCTTGCTTTCTTCTCGGACGTTCGGGCCGATGAGGCCCGAGATCTGGCCCGACGACTATTTAGGGAAACTGAGGTTGGGGGTTTCACTAGGGTTGAGATCAGGTCGCGGCTGTACGGCCTGGCCATGAACGTTATGATGAGGGTGATGGTGGGGAAGCGTTGCTACGGAGAGGAGAATGGGGATGAGGAGGCGCAGCGATTCAAGAAGATGGTGGAAGAGGCCTTCGCTGATGCCGGGGCTTCTAATGTCGGGGACTTTCTTCCGACGGCGATTGGGTGGTTTTTAAGGCGGAGTGTGGAGAGAAAACTGGCCCGAATTCACTCTTACAGGGATGGGTTCTTGCAGGGTCTTGTGGATGAGCGGAGGAGGAAGAGGAGGGTGGAGGAGGACGAAGGGAGGAGTGCTAGTAAAACGATGCTGGATGCGATTTTGTCGATGCAGAAGGATCAGCCGGAGCAGTACACTGATACTTTTATCAAAGCGCTTTTTGTGGTGAGTTCTTCGATCTGACATCTCTACCACTTTCTAACCAAAGTTTTAGGATAAGTATTAGGAACTGTCAATTAAAACTTTTACATACACACTCAATTCCTATGTATTTACATATCATAGGCCTAAACTGCAATTTAAGCATTATGTTATTCGAAAGATTTGGGTGCATTAATGTAAAATGTATGTTTAGGTGTTGGATACGTAAAGACATAGGAACTGAGAGGTATGTATGTAAATGTTTTATTGACAGTTCAATAGAAATGCCAAACTCATGTGGCTCGCAAATGCATCTCTGGCCTTTTCAATGCTTTTCTTTATTATTTTATTTGTCTTAGCTAGGCGCGTGGCTCACATGGGACAAGCTTTAGACTTTAGAACAGAACATTACACTTTTCGAATTTGCAGAAACAATAGAAAAATAAAAGGGGATTAAGGATTTACACATATCACTTAATATTTAACTGTTTACATTTATAATAACTAATGTTTTATTTAGCTTTTTAACATTTAAACTCAGTAATGCCAGAAATACCACTCACTTACAGCACTCAGCTGTTCTCACTCCCTTTCTCTCACTTGTATTCCAAACTATATGAGGAAGACAAATATTGTGAGTGTCTTTTTTATAATCTATTTTAAACGAAAGCTCACGGCACGGTAAGGTAGAAAAAGACAAGGAGATAATTTATTTAATTTAGGAGTATTTACATACATGCCACTCAATTATCTATTTTAGGAATATTTGCATACATACCACTCAATTCCTAAGTATTTACATATCTAACACCTCAATCGAGGTAGAAAAATTCGGACACTTACTCAAATGAAATAATTATTTTTTTAAAGCCAAGGTATGGCAAGGTAAGAAAAAAAGTTTAGTCTAGGCGAAAGTAAAAACAATATAAATTCACCTTCTCAAATAAAAGTTGTTTGGGGATGTTCACGATCCGATTTCGTGCCGAGTTGGGGTTGACTCGAATAGAATTAGTGCGGCTTGAAATCGGCTCGTGGCTCTTTATATTTGATTTCAAGCCGATTCAGCCTGAAATTGAATTGAGCTTGATCCAGCTCGAAATCGAATCGAGCTGGCTTCAATTGAGTTATTTGGATCTGTTTCAGGTTGGATCTGGAGTCAGTTCGAGTCGATCCATATATGTTTTGAAATCACCTTAATAAAAATTCGATGCAAAGTTTCGGCTCATAGCTCCACTCATTTGTTTCGATCTGATCTCGATCAAAGCCAAAATTTGAATTGATTTTCGTGCATTTAACGACCTTCGAGTTAAATTCACGGCTCTGCAAGTATTATAGTGAGAAAGTCGTAGATAGAGATGCTCATTGTGTCTGGATTATGAAGGCTTACCATGCTGAAAGATGCAAAACATGTGGGTGGAAGAGGATATTTTACAACCCGCCCACAAAAAATATAGTTTTAGCCAAATGCCCAATTGAACTAGAGATTAGGTCTGTCAAAAAAAGTCATTGTTCGTGAACAGTTCGTGTTCGGCTTGCCAGAAAGTTCGTGTTTAATTTGTTCAATAAGCAAACGAGATGAACACGAACAAATTTTTTTCGATCGATTTATAAACAAACAAAACACGAACATTCACGTGTTCGAATCGTTATTGTTCGAAATATAAAATAATTTAAAATAACTATATATAAAAAATTTATCATATTTTAAAAATAATTATATACTCTAAAAATTTATCATTTTTTAAAAAATTAAGTTGTATAAATAATAATAATAATAATTTATAGTTTTTTAAGAAATTGAGTTTAAAACTTTAAATGTATATTTCATTTGTAACTTGTTTTTAACAATTTGTAATAATATAGTTGAAGAAATAATATTAATTTTTTTGGTAAATTAATAATAATTATTACAAATCGAACAATTCAAACAATTCGAATAATTTAAATAATTCTAACATTTCAAACATTTTGAATTAATTTCAAATAAATCGAACTGAACACAAACAATAACTTCACGAACAATTTTGAACACGAGTCTATTTCAAACACACTTAATTTCAAACGAACCAAACACAAATACGAGCTTTGTTCATTTGTGTTCAATTCGTTTACATCCCTATTGGAGATTGATCTTATCTTACGAGTAGAAATTGTTGACATGGCCGAGCAAGCCGCATTCAACAGTAGATGGCTTTCTGTGTTCTAGTGATTGAAATTATTTTGTTCTTGATTTTTATTGTGGATTTGTAGATTCAATTTTATTGTTTGTTTTTTTGTTTCTAAATTTTAAATATGATTTGTTTAATTTACATGAATTTATTTTAATTAAAATTCGTTCAATGTTAATCTTCAACTTTATTTTTTTAGCAAATTTATTTCCACTCAATTAAAAATAAGTTTAGTTGAGAGGTCAAATTTATTTGAGTTTATGTGAATATATTTTTCAAATTTTTCTTGACAGATTATATGGACTTTACAGGCTATCTACAGCTTTAAAGTTTAACTCATTTACTAGTGAACGGAATGCATTGTCCTTATCCTTTAATTTTGTCATCGAATGTATGAATTTTATAGCTTTATATCTTTTTTTCACATTATGTGACTTTAATAGCTGTACATCAGATCACCGATCTTTGTTAACAAATAGCTTTGACTCAATCAAACCTAAATTTATATTAGTTCTGCAACCATCCAATCATATAGCATTTATGCACATTTATAATTCTTACAGCACAATCGGTTTCAATCTTAGGAAATCCCTTCGTTAGATCATCTTTTATTATGTGTTGTTTTGAGGGACAGTAACAATGTTTTTCTTTTTCATAGAAGAGAATCATATTACTAACTGGTTACCACAAACTGATGTGGTTGCTAGAGTAAGAGCTTCAAATGATTGGTAATATTGATGTTTTTCTTGAAGAGAAACGTAGACATAAGTTGGTAGAGAAAATAATTTGTAGATAGATAACATAGGGTTGAAGCCTTAGTATGGAGAAATTTATTAATTGTAGTTGAAGAATTTATATTTGTTGTTAGCATGTGCTAAAGCTTAATCGAGACCTAGATGAGTTAGCAAATGAGATCACTTAATTTTAGAGTCGTTGATCATAATTAAGAGTTTGGGGAGTGATTCTTTTACTGGACTAGATTAGATGTTAGTATATAAGAGGTTTTTGAAGATAACTCATCATTTGGTTGTTTTATATAACTTTCAGATGAGTTACCATATGAATGCAGCAGGTACAACGTTGTAGCCACATCCAAATGAAGTATTCTTAGATTACAATAACATTTAATATTAAGAGTGAAAAAAGAGGGGATAAATTTACATTTGATTTGTATTCTGAGTTCTTACGAACACTTTGTTTTAATCATAAGAAGTTCTTAATAAAGGAGGATTTATAAAAAATCTAAAAAGAGTTTTAGCTTATGCAATAAACTATAGGGCTGTCAAAAAAACTCGTCATTCTTGAACAACTCTTGTTCGGCTGATTATTGACCACTACATACGTGTCACAATCTAAACAAAAAAGCAACAAATTAGGATGTGACATCGCACCAAGCGGATCCAAAACGCTTATAATGTTTTTTAAAAAAATATGATTAAATGTTGTGTTTGCAAAATGAACAATGCCAATGCATCTGAAATGTCGAATCTACCGATAAAGGGTAGATATCATGCAAATCACCACATGATTGCAAACTATAAAATTTGCCTAGACTCAAGGCCAATGACAGACTTCGAGATAAATTAGTTAAGTCGAATTAATTTATTTTAAAATTAAACTAAATTTAATTTAATATTTTATATAATCTTGTATATATATATATATATATATATATATATATATATATATATATATATATATATACATACATGCATACATACATACATGCATACATGCATACATATACTAATATTACTGCCATTATTTAAACAATGCTAAATTTTATTAAGATTAATGTCTATGCATATATCATTATTGTAGGGGGGAGAGATGAGCACGAAGACACCAATTCGAGAGATCATAAGCAAAATTTATATGAAAGCACACAAAATCAAAAAGCATAAAGAACACAAGTTTTAACTTGGAAAAACCCGAACACGGAAAAAACAAGGAGCCATATCACACCAAGAAGTCCACTATGAAGAAAATGAGGAGAATTGTATAAATTACTCTACACTCGAGCCTTTCTACACTTTAGAACGCTTTAGGTGTACTCCCCTCTCTCTTCAACACGAGAAATTGAAATTTAACTCAACTTGCTCTCTTCCTACAACGAAGTCAAGGTTTTAATTGAAAACTTCTCGAATTTTGTTACTGGCGTCAGGATGCCATGATATGGTGATGTGGTGCTCCAACGGGTGCTAGGCACCGACCTTCTGGTGATGTAATATCATGCTTTTATCTTAACCCGGACTGGGTGCCTCGACACTGTTTGGCTCGACTTTGTGGTTCTCCTCTATGGATGTTGGCTACTAGGTTCTGACCTTTATCAGGCATGACATCGCTACCTTCTGGGTGTTAGGGAGATATGTACAGTAAAAAAAAATTTTCACGGGTTGCGCCCGTTGCGCCCCTTAACCTAAAATAGAGGGGCAACCCATACATCCTTACAAACTCACCGTTGAGCTTAATTGATGGAACTGAGGGCTTTGAGTAATTAAATGATTCATACAATCAAACTCCACATAATGATAATTTCCCACATGGATACTTATTGCAATGAATGCCGCTTCTCCAAATCTACATCTTTATATTTATGAACTATAGTGTGGCTCAACCTCTCTCGATCTTCTTGAACTCTAATTGAAGCAAATCATAGCTTTTGTTTTTCAATTATTATAGCCTTTGTCAACATGTCTACATGATTTTAAGTTGTTTGTACCTTTTCTAAAGATAATTGATCATTTTTTTTATGAATGAACGAATGAAATAATACCTTAGCTGAATGCGCTTCATCTTAACATGAAAAACAATATTATTCACTAGATAAATATCACTTATACTGTCAATGTGAAA